CCCCCCCCATGTATTTAGGTGATAAGACGGACTTCCAAAATATAGAACCAAATCACAATAGAGTAGGATATGGTCACAGGACAGTCTGGACATGGTAGACACGTCCAACTCCTATATCCGCGCCGTACTAGACATCTTGATACGATACGGCTAGCGACAACACAACACATTTACCGTCTCTCAAATTTTACTAAAACTATAGGGATATGATAAAGAATAGTACCGAAGTTTGTCTGCAGTAGAAGTTTCATGTTATTTCTCTTACGTTGACCTTCAAAATATGCATATTGGCTTATAAGGGGAGACATGCTTTTGTTCACAAAAACAAATGTTTAGTTAATTTGCGGATTACATTACAATCATTTACCATTTACTGAGGTAAACAAGTCCTAGTTTTAATTATCGCAAATATAATTAGTTATATTTTGAACAAGTAATTATACAATTTGTCTATTGGCTTATAAAAAGGCGATGTAGTTATCTAAAATAGTCCATCTATTGAATTTTCTATTTATTAATGCACACTTTAGCAGCCATCTAATGCAGTGCAATTGTAATTAACGAGCTGTATGTTTTTAATATATATGTTTTAATCGGATTCTATCGGCCATAAACAACGTGAGTTGGTTGTATTACAAAGCTTGGCAGTACGACATTAATTTAATATTGACCAACCTGAACGGTGATTTTAAAGCCGCCGATTTAAAGTTTATGTTCCAAAGACGAGATGGTATATTAGATTTCATTTTCGTGCAACTTTGTTACACACAATATGATTTACATAATTAAACATTTTGTTTATTTTTATTCCATTAATACTAGATAATTGACAGGAAGAGAGCTTTCCTTTATACACAGTAATACATATATGTTCAAGGTGTAAAACAATCATATTAAAGTTCTAGTAATGGAAACTTACGAATCTGATCGTAATAACTTGTGAATGAGAGTATAGGTAAAAGCATAGTGTGAAAAAAGGACCGGACAATAGATGTCTAGAGCAGAGTACAACGACAGTAAGGGAGTTTCCTACAAGCACAACACGTGTGTTAAAATAGTTCATCAGAAATCGAAGAAGGATGATAGATACAATAAAAATGAAAAAGAACTTGCTTGTTTAATTTACAATAATGGTCATTTAGGGCAACATGATTCTTTTAACATGAGGTATTCATTTGAGGACTCAAAATTTAAATCGTAGAAAGACTCGTTTATCATTTAAAAATGAATAAAAAATGAATAAATAGATGTTATAATAAATGTATCACTTTAAAAACTATTATAACTAGTCTTCCTATGTGTCTGTATTTCATTTTTTTCTGCCTTTCTATCATTTATTTTCTGTTATGTGTAATAAAAACTAGACGATAAACATAACATAAAAGTCATTGATTTCTTTCACTTATTATTAATGGTCCTCTCAATGTTAAATACTGGCTTAAGTTGAGTAATGAAGGTGCATAGGTCAAACATTTTTTGGGAAATCTATTTGTCAAATCATTTAAGTGTACCTTGAATATTCCTATTAAGAATTGGAATATTGTTTGCTTATTACTCTAATTTTACATATTTACGTTCACATTTAGAATATGCTGAACAAGTTTCTTTTGTCAGAAAAGCAAACATTACACAAATCCGGATTCAAAATGCAATGTAGCATTGGTGTGTGAAGATTGGTCTAAATAACAGTCATTGTAATTTAAGACTGTTGAGTTAGGTCAAAAGGCATTGTTTTGCTTTCTTCAATTCATTATTTGATTTTTTTTCTAGATATATAACGTTTTACATATCCTTCATGTCAATGTTATGTTTGGTCTTTTTTTAACCTACACCTATATTATCAGTAATACAAACGAGTCTTCCATAGCACTTTTATTCCTTAAAGAGATCCAGTGTAGTAAATCAAGTTTGCATTTAACTACTGCTTTCTTCGAACTCACTATGACGTCACTATGACGTCCATCTTTTCTAAGTATTCACCTTTATAAATCAACTGTTGATAATACATAGTGTTTCCATTTAGAGGTATAGCACTACGGTAGAAACAATATTTGATCTACTTGGTCTATTTCTATTTTATCATTAAACTGTTTCTAGCATATATCATTCCGAGTTTGTTGTGGGGTATGTTTTTCACTTTTATGTTCAGTTAGTATCTTCCGCCAAAACAACATGTTGCCTGCCACTCAAAAAATAATTTAAAACAAATTTAAGTGTTGTTTTTTTCTTAGCAATTTTCTTTGGAAAAATCCATGCATAAGATTTTGAAAATCCTTTTAGGTTTCGTTGGACCATTTTCTGAAGATCAACACAAATGTAAATTCCCAACAGATACCAGATGCCAATTACCGTTATAAAGCATTTTTTGTTTTGTTATAAGTATATAAGTTAAAGGCATATGAGTTCACTTAAAGCACAAAGTAGCATAATGTCTGTAGCGGAGTGGATGGTGTCGGAATTTCGAGGCCGTCAGATGCATTGTTTTATTTGTTTACAAATGTATGTCTTATTTTAATATTCAAGCTATTTTCAAGTATTATCCTGGAGTTGACAGTCTCGCAGCTTCGGGTGGGGGTTGGCCGTATGGGTTATGCTTATAGGCTACAGCGCGTACCCTGCCCATTACTCATCGACCATGTGGCGGTTTTTAACCTCTCCTAAAATAGTCATATACTCATTACCATGTATTGCATAATAATTACATTATTTTAAATCAGTGTGTTGTGTAATGTATTGTATACATGGTTCATTTTATGTCGTTTTTGTAATAAACGGCCAATTTCAAATCAAACTGTGGAATTACTGGTTTTCATTTGCCTATCGTACTATTGAGTATAGCTAACTGTTTGACTGTTTACAAGAACCGCACCTCATTAAAGATTTTATCTGACATACACACGAACACCAATTAATTCAACTTGTACTTTTTCAAAAACTGATCTTGACAACATGATAAGAAAATGATTTTTTTTTCTCAAAATTTTCATTTCTTTTAACATTGCCATATTTAACATACTATATTTAGTTAAAAGACGTTATATCAAAGTCAAACTCTAACAACCTCTGACAAAGCTGTCGCTGGGTGTTCTCCTATCTCGGCTTGATGTGTTAACGCCACGGACGGGAGACACGTTACTAGAATCAGGAGATAAGCTCTCGGTGTTATGGCCCCAGATGATAAACATTTACATTCGATGTTATTGCCTGTTTAACAGCTCCCATATATCTACGGCTACATCGGAGTGATGTTTCAGAGCAGGTGCACTTTGTCGGAAATACTCTTCTGTGGATGACTTGGTAATGTTCACTTCGTCCCAAATTATGTATGTTGTAATTGACATTGAAGATGTGTCCCGATCTATCTGGTAAAACTTGTCTATTCCAAACACTGAGTATTCCAACACCATTCCTTATCAAACCTAATGAAATAAAAAGCCAAAAATGTTTTGAGGAGTTTAGTTAAAATATCCAATTGATCCGAGTAACGTATCGTATTATTTTATGTTGTCTAACTTGTTATCCTAATGGTCATTGCGATGTATTGCCATCGTTTAAACGGAAGGCGGTGGTACAACGAATTGGCATTTCACATTTTAACATATATCGTAAGGCTTAGGTGGGAGTTATCTCCCCTCAAATAGTACATTGATTTGCGCAAACAGTGTTTGTCATCTGGATAGTTTGTTTAATATCATTACAATCATAACTGAACGGGATTTCATCATTTTGATGTATATTACAATACAACATCTGAATCATGAGATTGTCATTACAAAGTTGACTGATGTGTAATTCCTCCTTGTGATCACCTAAGTTAAACATCATGATGCATGAATTAAATTGCTTCAGATTTTCAAACATTTTGATGCACATTTACTCAAAACAAATGTCTCGTCAACTAGAAAAAAAAAGGAATTCTGATCTGCGACAACGTTTAGATATGTTTATATAAATTCATTTCATTTCATTTTGTCAATTACAATTATCACAATAAGAATATCTCATGCGTGTATACTGAGTAAATATATTTAATAAATGGCAGGTTTGTATACCTTAATATGTACATTCTATTTGAATCTGAAGAGTAATTCTTAACACAAGATGTGAATTGGTCCACGTCGTGTCAGTGTAATAATCATTATAGATAGATACGATAGGTTTGTGGCGATTTTGTAACAGCTAGTCTTTATAGATATATTTTTTCATAATTTCTTTGTAGATCCATTCTTTTCGTTTGAACTTGTTGACTTGATCGATTTTATTATTGTAGGAAATGTAATATCTTAAATAAAATACAAACATGGAGAACTTGTTTTGCTCACATTGTGCAATGGCAGCCCAGCGTTCATCGTTAGCAATCTTTTAACAACTAAAGAGCAGATGTCAGGTAAACATAAATTCATAAACGTACATCTCTGGAAACACTGCACTCATAAACGTACATATCTGGAAACACTGCACTCATAAACGTACAACTCTGGAAACACTGCACTCATAAACGTACATTTCTGGAAACACTGCACTCATAAACGTACATCTCTGGAAACACTGCACTTCAGTTTCTCCGTCAATATTTGACATCTATTGTGGAAATCGTGATATTCAGAGCAAGCCCGTTAATTTCAAATTAACTGCGACATGTTCAAATTGTAGTTAAGCTGTTAAAGTATTAACCTTTTAACGCAATTTTAGCACAATCCTGCAAATTGATGGGGAACAGGGGGTGTTGCTGTCAAGAAACGGAAATGAAAAACTGGAAGTCAACCGTCCCTGATACATATATATGCTGCCGTCCATTCAGCCCTATATCAACAGACTTGTATTTCCAGCAAGGTGTGTTGTAAAAGTCA